ATGCTTCTATTATTACTCTTAAACTTTAAGAAAATCATAAGACTAAATATGTAATAAAAATTCATTTTAATATTGTAATATTGTTTTTATTAGACTTTAGCATACTTAAAAAGGTTATCATTTTGCTTTCTACATATTATTCTATTTGACTACCTAAATACTTATGCTATCGAGACCGCAAAAAAAAGTGTGTCGAAATAACATTTATCATAATTGCATCCCTTATAACTTTGTAATGTGGTTACTTCATAATTTTGTAGCAACCTTTTTAATAATCAATTTTGCATAATAGTGATAGATTGCGTGATTGATAAAAGTCATAATCGTCTATAAGAAAGTTTAATTAACTATAAAAAAAAAATATTTTATATTTTTATCATTTAAACATGAATACTAGAAATTCGAAAAGAGTCGCAAATGATAAAACATCTGTTGCTACTAAGCCTGCTAAACAAGGCCGTAAAAAAAAAGTGATGATGTCTTAAATAAGAATAGTTTACAAAGTAAACCGAATACTGCTAGTAAGCGAGGCTGCAAAAAGAAGCAAGAAACAGTTGCTTCTTCGTCGTCACAAATAGTTCATGAACTTTTGAATAGTGATGATGATATACAAGGTAAATATTGCTTTTATTTGGGTTAGATGCTGAGAAAAGGACCCAAATTGCCAATTTTTCAAAATCTTTTAAGTTTAACTAATCCCAAATTAGATCAGGAACTTTTTTTTATTTAAGGAACAAATATTGTTATCTTAATAAAATTTTGCAGTATACCTTTTAAAATTTGTATTTTTATATAATTTATTATAGAATTTATAATATAAAATTTTCAGCAAACTTTTTTTTGTTAGTTTGGGTCCTTTTCTTAGAGCCTAACCTAATTATAAATTTACTATCTTTATTAATCATAATCTCTCTTTTAGGCGATGATAAAGTTGCAAATATCAGTGAATTATCTCAATCTTCAGATAGTATACTTTCACGGCAATTATCACCAATTCAAGAATTAGAAATCGAGTCACCAACTCTAGAATTAGAAAATATGTCACTACCTCTAGGGTCAGAAATTCCATTTCAAGAAACTACGCCTTCACAGCAACTTTCACCAATCTTAAAGTCAAGAGCTGTACCTCCAAGACGATCATCATCAGTTCTGGGATCAAGAACTAATAATCTAAATAACTTTGTTTCTTCTTACCACCTTCCAACTAATCCAGTAGTCACGCCTTTAAGAACATCAATTCTAGGATCGAATTTTTTAAACAGTTTATCGGGTCTCACCTCTAATAGCATAGCCATTCCATCAATATTTAGTGAAATGACAATTTATCAAATATGTCTATGGTTATGTGCAAATCCTAATGTTCTGCAACTTGCAAATAATATAAACATATCAATGCAAACTTTAGCTGCGGATGGTTCGCAGTTTATGCCTTCTATTTCTTCAACGTTATCAACTATGGTGCAAAATCAAACCGATAAAGTAAGTTTCTTTTTTGTGTTTCTTAATATTTTATAGTTCTCTAATAAATTCATGTATAGGCGCAGGCTAGTCGTGACTTCTTGGAGGAATTAAAGTGTCTCTTCCTTTGTGTTCGAAATCCTCCAAAGAAGGTGCTTGAGGAATTAGTAAGACAAATTATTAAATGCGACCTCAATTCAACTGAGGGCATTGAATGGCTTCACATTGCTAAAAGACACTTTGGTGATTTTCATAACAAGTTAATTAACAGAGTTGAAAAGTTGATTGAAGATTTTAAAAAAAAAAGAAATCGGTTAGTATGCAATAATCGTATTTACATTTTTTAGATTTAATATACACTAATGCATTTTTTTTTTAACAATTATAGTCCTACGAGTCCTTTACAAAAAAAAGAAATCATCGCATTTGTGGATGAATCTGAAACAGTTCATGTGTTAAATCAATGGTTGAACGCCACAAATACGGACGAACTACGCACTCAAAATTCAATGTTTCATTTATGCAAGTTTATTCAAAGGGCGTTTGCTATTAATTATACATCAA